GTAATCTAGGCAAATCAATAAATAGGGGCAACCCGTGTGAAAAAAATCAATAAATAGGGGCAACCCGTGTGTCCCGAACAAAAGGCGTATTAACACACGCTCCTCCTCATACATTAGGTCTGCTATATTTGTCAGATTCCTTGGCTTCTCTCATCCCTTTTGGGGAAACATACAAACTTTTCTAAGCAAAAACTGCTGAAAAATCAATAAATCAGTAGGGGCATTTCGTGTGTCCTGAACAAAAAGACTTTAACATACGCCCCACCCGGGAGACGGTCAAGAGGCGCGATCATTCAACATGTTCATTCAACTTACATGTGTCCCATGTCCCAAGGTGATCACGGTGTTGGAAGTGGAAGCATTTAAAAGAAGTACAGTACGTGAGAAAGGCGTCATGGTAATAAGAAAAGATGGGAGGGGGGGGGGGGGGATATAAGGGTGTTAACTGTCATTGGATTCATATGGTTGGTAGGCATGCTTGATCTTATGGGTGAGTAAAATTTCTGTTTTTGAATAAACTTTGCTGGTCGATGATTCTCGCTGAGAAAGGGATTAATGCGTAGTCAAATATCAGTCAGTTGTCGGGAATGTTAGATAAAAAAAATAATGAGTAGATAGAGAAAGTCAATAATTAAAGCAAAGATATTGTATTTGTAATAACCATCCTACCTATCCTTTCGTTGCCGCCAGATTTAAGCCCCAAGAGCGTAAAGTAAGGAAAATTAGTAAATTGATTTAGCCTATATTAGTGGAAATAGGTTACTAACAAAAGACCCGTTCAGACGTTTGTGCATGCGAAGTTGGATTCAGATCTCCTAATTTTTTCTAGCATTCTGGGTCAGTTATAATAAATGGCTAAGCAGAAAACGCCGGAAGTCAATGTATCAAAAGCGACAAAAAATCGTTTTTTGATATAAGCTTAGTAACACCCGTCCGCCACGAAGTTCATGTTTGCAAAGTTTGATTCGAATCTCATAATTTTTTCAAACATTTTGGGCCGGCAAAAATTTTTTGAGCAATGCAAGAAATCAATGAATCGATAAAAGCAATCGGTATATTTTGAACACAATCATGACTTATAATAAGCGGCTTAATCTGAAGTTGTGTGGAGTTTGTCCGTTACGAAATTACAGTGAGGAATGATTTACAATACCAAACAGCATGTGAGGTTAAGATAGTGGTATGGTTCATTTTTAACTATGGCTCTCACGTTGCAGTCAACCGAACATGACTTGAGAGACAAGCTCTCAGAAAGTGAGTTTACCACGGTTCATAACGGCCAGTGCGAACCTCTGCGAAGCAGAGGTGAAGCACTGGTAACTTATAAACACACGCCCCACATCATTCCAATGCGTATGAAATGTGTTATACCCCTCTTGTTTATCTATCTGGTGATACTAGATTAAAGTTGCTAATAAGACATTTTCCTCTGAAACCGAATCTCAATAAGAACGATAAAAACGCGCAGCAAATGCCGCGAAAGGTAGCCTATGCTACTCTTTGGTGTTCAGAACATGTGCGTCCTTAGACTGAGTTAAAACTTCTTCCGTTATTCAGGGCGAAAAAATTTAATAAGCAAAAATTGAAAAAATCAATAAATAGGGGCAACCTGTGTATCCCGAACAAAAGGCGTATTAACACACGCTCCTCCTCATACATTAGGTCTGCTATATTTGTCAGATTCCTTGGCTTCTCTCATCCCTTTTGGGGAAACATACAAACTTTTCTAAGCAAAAACTGCTGAAAAATCAATAAATCAGTAGGGGCATTTCGTGTGTCCCGAACAAAAAGACTTTAACATACGCCCCACCCGGGAGACGGTCAAGAGGCGCGATTTCTCCGGTTGTCATCATCTCAAAAGCTCAGCTCACGGCTGCGCAAGTCTTTAAAAAATTTCAAACAAAATGTATTTGATTAACATCTGTTTGGAGTTACCACTTGCTGAATTTCAGGAGTTTTGCTGAAAAATTGGCCGAGATATTCAAAAATTTGCTGTTAACGGTATTTTCATGAATTTTTACTAATAACGCTTATGTTTTAGATTTATTTTGAGATGATAAGACTTAACAACCTATGCAGTAATCTTGTATATCTCCCTTAAAATTTCAAGTGCTCTCAGAACATCATAAAACACTGAATAAGTAATAATTGACGTCCATCTGTCAATAAAAATCGCGCCTCTTGACATACACCCGCCAAACCCCATACATTAGGTCTGCCAGATTTGGTTCTGATTCCATAACCTATCCTTTTTGGGCGGACATACAAAATTTTCTGAGTAGAAACTTCAAAAATTCAATGAATCGATAAAGTCAAACGGTGAACTTCGAACAAAAAGGCTTATTAACACACGCCGCACTCATACATTATGTCTGCCAAATTTGGTTTAGATTCCATGGCTCCTTCTATCTTTTTTGGGCGAACATACAAAAATTTCCGGGCAAAAACTGCAAAAAATCAATGAATCGATAGAGCCAGACGATGGGTCTCGAACAAAATTTCTTAATAATACACCCCCATCCCATGTATCATGTGCGCCAAATTTGGTTCAGATTCCATCACTCCTTCTATCCTTTTTGGACGAACATACAAAATTTTCCAGGCAAAAACTGCAGAAAATCAATAAATCGATAGAGTGGAACTGTGGGTCTCGAACAAAATGGCTTATTAACACACATCCCATCCCATACAATATGTCTGCCAAATTTGGTCCAGATCTCATGGCCCTTTTTTTCTAGCGAACACACAATATTTCCTAAACATGAAAAAGCAAAAACTGCATGAAATCAATAAATTAGAGTGAAAGGTGGGTCCCAAACGAAATCGCTTATTAACATACACCCCACCCCATACATGTCTGCCGAATTTGGGGGCGAACACAAAATTTTTTTAGGCAAAAACTGCAAAAAATCAATAAATCGATAGAGTGGAACGGTGGGTCCCGGAAAAAATGGCTTATTAACACATGCCCCACCCCATACATTATGTCTGTCAAATCTGCTTCAGATTCCATCACTCCTCCTATCCTTTTTGAGCGAACATACAAAATTTTCCAACGAAAAACCGCAAAAAATCAATAAATCGATAGAATCAGATGGTGGGTCCCGGACAAAATGGCTTATTAACACATGCCCCACCCCATACACTATGTCTGCCAAATTTGGTTCAAGTTTAATGGCTGCTTTCTACCTTTTTGGGCGAACATACAAAAAGTGGCTAAGCCAAATATATATAGTATTGAGTATTGATTATCGCAACAGAGCAACGTAAGGGAGAGCTTATCTTACTTTTCTAATGGATAAAACATTGAACATGATAAAGACACTGCGATTTTGATAGTTTACTAGGGCTTGGAAGAGCGCATGTGTTATCAAACCAGTTGTCAAGTGTCGACCTTAGCGGGCTGGAACTAGGGTGTACACCAAATCGTCGTCAAGTACAATCCCTTGCTGAGACTTTTGCGGCAGCCTCGCAAACGGGTTAAAGTGCGAAAACTTTTCTAACAATAAGTACATCGTTTGCAGGGAAACCTACGTTGATTGCACACTTTACCCTTAGGTGACTGACCGCGCTGATTGACTGATATTGCGAAGCGGGCGATCCGCGCTTGAAGCGTTGCAAGGGCACGGTTTGTATGTACAACGACGCCTTCCATGTTATATGCATTTCACCATCGCTTACTTCATAATGAACCGTCCACGCTGTCAACGGCTCATCAATATATGAAATGAAAGCCACTAAAAAATGTAGTTTGCTAAAGGATGGTGGCTAAGAGTAAACAAATTTCTCAAAAAAACTAAAAATGGAGATGGGTAAAAGTTTTCTTTCAGTCACAACATGTTGATAACGTCACAATAAATTTTTTATGAAAGAATTTTTATTAAGCAGAAAAGAATCAAATAGCAGCTTCTCGATTTCTTTGGTTTGATGAAATGCTAATGATCGCCGATGTGTGTCATTAACAATATCAAAACCATGCTGTATATATGGAATAAAAGATGGAACACCTATATCATTCAATTTCGAACTTTTCTTGCAATTAGCTCAGCAGCATATCTCATTACTTTTGCAGGCATTTTCCATACTTTTCTGCTGAATAAATCATACTAGGTTGAACGAAAATTCTTCGTTGATTTTGAGAAATTTATAAATGCTCCCTATGTAAACGCGTCTGCTTAAAAGTATTCCATCCGAAAGAAAAATTCATCTGCTCTACAAAAATATCTTCGCGGCTTTTTGATAACAAGGGAATTTGGAGATAAAAACTCGAATAGGAGAACTACTCTGGCTTCAGGAAAAAACTTGAACCACTTCAGGAAAAAACTGTCAAAAATCTGGAACACGCAAAGGATCTGAAAACATGTTTCTTACAGCCTGTTTCTTCTTCCTATTTAGCTTACGAAGACTGAAAGAAACATGCTTTCAAATTTTTCTGCGCGTTTCCTCTTTTGGCAAGTAGTGGTCACTTGATAACAATTTTATCTCTACATTCGCTTGCCTTCAAAGAGCTACGAAAATGTTTTTGTAGAGCACGAATTTTTCTTTCTGATGGAATTGTCTGTAAGCAAATACGTTCACACAGGGGGCTATCACGAGTTTTTCAAAAAAAAAAGAGGCAGGTCTTTCGTTTCAACCCAATATAAATTCGAGGAACTGTTCACACTACACAGCTTCAGTTTCTGTACAGAACATGCTCTTAACCATCACGCGAAAATTGACAGATTTTCATTCACTTTCGTGCATTGTAGCCATTTGTAGTTTGAAGTGCTTTATCTTATATTAACATAATTTTCCTGATTTTCTTAATAGTAAAAAATCGTAATCCTTCACGGTAGTCAATATAGGTTTGAAAAATCATAATGAAAAAGGCACGCGCAATTTTAAGAGATCGTGGCAGCGCCGTAGAAAGTGCAAAATTCTATTGAAATTTTTCAGTAAAGGACAGATGCCCCTTACCACAGACCAACAATTTTTTGGCTAGCTTTGGTGAGTGATTGCGGCAGCAACCGGCTAGTTGAGTAGCACCAGCTATAGACTGTCTTACTGTGAGTGTTAGGGCTCTAGCGGCCCGGGCCCTCGCAGCCGCCTTTGCTACGTTGCGTTGCTTTCGCGGACGTATCTTCTAAACATTTTCCCACGCCTAGCAGCAAATAAGAGCTCTTGTGTCGTTGGAAAATGTCCAGGAAAACTTTTGCGGTAGCAGCCACTAGGCCCGAGTGGGGCGGCGCTAGGACCGGAGATCCAGTGCCTTGACACTCACAGTAAACAGCCCATACAAAGCCATTAGGGCCAGAAAACAATTACAGTGCAACCCTTTCTCTTGACT